GGACCAGCGTGCCACAGGCCAGGAGGGTTAGTTCCCGGCCCTCTCTGGCTCCTCGGAGGTAGGGAGGCAGGCTCCCATCACCTCGCTGGCGCTCGCTTCACAAAATAACAACCGCCGGCCGGCGTGGCTCAGCCGCTGATTCCCGGTTAGGGCCCAGGATCCCCAGCCGTGGGTCCGCGGGAGGCAGCCGATCACGGATGCCCTCGCATCACTGATGTTTCCATGTCTCTCTCCCTTCCTCTCTGAAGTCAGTGAAAGTGTTTTAAGGATCAGCAGTGACCACGTACTGTGCCTAGAGTGGCCTCCTCCTAAGACGGTGTGGCTGCCTAGAACAGCGGGCCAGACACACGGAGGCCCTGTCCCGGGCTCACGCTGGTCTCCGCGAGAAGGGCCGGCGTCACGGCCGAAGGCAGCCATTCGCCCACGTGCTGTCCGCTCCGGGAAGTCCCTCGGCCAGCAAAGGGCCGGCAGTGAGCGGCTCCAGCTGGTAGAAGGCTCACAGCTCCCGGGACGGGAACTGTCTGAAGCTCCTGGGACGCGTAGGGTCACTGCTTGTGAGGTCAGACACACAAACCTTCTGGCCGTCAGTCTCGGGGGAGAGGCCGCGGAGCGCGTGTCCCACAGCCGTGGCCGTGGCCGTGGCCGTGGCCGTGGCCGTGCGTGGCGGTGGAGGAGCTCTTTGGTTTATCGCTCCTCACCCCCATCCCACCCCCTCGGTCTGTCAGTCTGCTCTGGGCCGCCGTGCTTCCAACAGCGCAGCTGTCGCCGTCCCCCGTCGGTGCTGATGGCGAGTCCCAATCGCTAAGCTCATCCGGACGGGGTGGGACGTGGGACGGGGAGCCCGGGGGACAAGCCCCTTCTGCGCAGAGGAGTTTTGAGCTCGCCCGGCTCCGGCTCCGGTTTGCTGCGGCCCCCGTGCTGGCTGGGAGCGGGCGGCAGGGGGCATGCCTCCCCGTCTACTCTGTTCTCTCCGGACCAGAAGGAAGCCATTCCCGGGTCCGGGGAGGAGCATGGGCCGGAGGGAGAGTGAGAGCTGCAGTCCAGCCCACGTGTGCCCAGGGGTCGGTTCTGTGTTTCCTTCTTCGTTTTGTTTACGTATCTTGTCTGGAGACAGTCCCCACGCCCTCGCCCTCCGGAATAAAAACCGAGAGAGTTGCTCAACTCGGGAGCTCTCGTGTGTGGGGAAATATCAGCCGCCCAGCTATTTCAATGGATGGAATAAACACACCAGCCTAGGCATCTGGGCCTGGCACCCATCCAGCTGGCAGGCTTGGGTTGGTGCAGGGCCTGTGATGGCAATGAAAGGCAGGCTGTGGGCACTCGGGGTCCAGTGCTGAGAGGTGGGGCAGCTGAGACCTGGCAGGTGCCCTGTGGCCAGGGCAGGAGCTGTGGTGCAGCAGCGAGTGGGGAGGAGGCCGAAGTCACCTCTCTCCCATCCCCCCTCCGCCATCTAGGGGATGGCAGTTTGAAGCTCTGGAAGGCAAGGAGGCTGCCTGCCACCTTCCAGACCCTAAGCCGAGACGACCAAGGAGCAGGCTCCTACTTCCATAATCAGTGCCTGTTCCTGTTCCTGAAACTCAGCGGCGGTTGGGGGGGGGTGGGGGGGCATAAAAATGTCTGGGGGTCCTGCTGGCCTCGCTGTAAACCGTGTGGGTGTCTGCGCCAGAAAGCGCTCCTGGATGGAGCTCCGAGCAGTTTCCGCCCGGCTCCGGCCCGGCCTGGCAGGGGCTCTGCGGCTTCGCCCACCTGGCCGGTGAGTCCCCGGGGGTGTCCCTGAGCCCCTCACGGGCGTCTGATCCCCGCCACCCTGGCCCCTGGGGAGTGGTGCCCACGGGGGAGGGCCATCACCCCAGAACGTGAAGCTCCTGTGACCAGCCCAGCCCTGCCCACTTGCCTGAGCCTGCCCACCCCGTTTCCCACGCCCTGCTTCACCGGAAACACCGGGTCACCGATCTTCTCTTGCTCATCTACGTCCAGACGGTCTCTGAGCCTTCCTTCACACCAGCTATTTTTAATTTTACTGGAAAATATGTGTCCTCAGGAGAGGAGGGCGCTTAGACAGCACCAGGCTTGGGGCGGAGTGGGGGAGGAGCGTCCCGTCATCCCCCCTCAGTGTCACACAGCAACAGGCATACGAGCAGGCCTGAGACTCCTGACTTCTTGGCACTTATACCAAGTGGCTCAATGGGGTGGGCATCGCTGGTTTGATTCCTGGTCAGGGCACATGCCCGGGTTGTGGGTTTGATCCCAGGGCACATCCCTGAGGTGTGTGTGGGAGGCAATTGATTGATGTTTCTCTCTCTCTCCCCGCCCCCTTTCTCTTTCTCTCTGAAAGTCAATAAAGAGACTTTGTCAGGATGCTTTCGGCCTCACTTAACTGACCACGTAACTGTCCCCAGTGTCACTGGAGGTAGAGGCAGGGGCTCCGGGGGCCCTGGCGTGCACCCTCTGTACGTGCTGGCTCTGTTCCAGGTCACTTCTCCCGTCGGGCGCCTGGCTACGGAAGCCCCTGGGGTCCATGCCTCCCTCCCCAGGACACCAGGGGATGGGACAGGGCAGCGTCCTAACGTGTCAGCCAGGAGCCTGGAGTCACCTCCCTGGTCACTTCCAGCGCCCGCCCTCCCCGACCCGCTGTCCGGTGCAACTCACTGGGGCTGACTGCCTTCGGCCAGCTCTGGACCAGTCCCCAGAGGGAGCTGCGGTACCCAGCCAGAGCCCCTTGGTGCCGGGGCCGGCCCTCTGTCCCGGGCGCCGGCTGCCTGTGGGAGGGGTGGGACATGAGGTGCATACACAGGAGCGCTCTTACTCCCCTGAGCCTCTTGAAGACCCACCCGCTCTGATGAGGGCTCCATCAGCACCCGGGGTAGAGGGTTTGGGGCACAACCACTTGGGGAAATGGTGCTTCCCGTTCAGTCAATAGAAAGAGGCCCCTCCACTTAGCTCCGGGGGACCTGCCAGTGCCGGGCCCATTCCCCTAGGCCAGTGGTCGGCAAACCGCAGCTCGGGAGCCACAGGTGGTTGTTTGGCCCTTTTAGTGTGGCTCTTCCACAAAATACCACGGCCTGAGTTAGAAGAAATTTAAGTTAAAAAAAATTTGGCTCTCAAAAGAAATTTCCATCGTTGTACGTTGATATTTGGCTCTGCTGACTAACAAGTTTGCCAACCACTGCCCTAGGCTGTGGTGCTGCGAGGTGGGCCGCTGACAGCTCACTGTTGCCCTCCCCACTCCAGAAAACTGCCCCTGCCGAAACTGGTGTGGCTCAGCGGATAGAGCATCGGCCTGTGGACTGAAAGGTCCCAGGTTTGATTCCGATCAAGAGCATGTATCTTGGTTGCGGGCACATCCCAAGTGGGGGGTGTGCAGTAGGCAGCTGATCGATGTTTCTCTCATCGATGTTTCTAACTCTCTATCTCCCTTTCTAACTCCCTTTCTCTCTGTTAAAAAAAAAATCAATAAGATATTTTTTTAAAAAAGAAAAGAAAACTGCCCCTGTCTGATAGCAAGTGAAACCCCAGCCCTTGCACCCCGGGGCAGATCATAGCCACTGGCGGACGGATCCCCTCTGAAAAGCCAGAACCCTCTCCTCATGGGCGCAATGCCGCTATGCGCTTTGGCTCCAGGGCCCGCCCCTTGTGGACCAGGTCAAGGCAGGATGTTACCTGTAGCCAGCCTCATCCTCCGGCTCCTTCCCTTGCGTGGCCTGCTTCCCTCGCTTCCCAAGCAGCTCCTCCTAACAGCACACGCTCAATAAGCGATTCACGCTTGACTCCTCATCTCAGTTCTGCTTCTCAGGAGCCCAGGCCAACACAACACGGATGGCCTTTGCTTTTCCACCAGCTCAGGTCCAGGAAGGTGTAAATTTAAGGAAAGAAAACATAGTGAGAACATGGTAAAGAAATCCGCCTCTAGTTGATGTACAAGTTGGTATAAAGATCACTGATGGCAGCATGGCCAACTAGAGAAATCGGCAAGCTTTGGGGACGACCGTACTTTTGGCAGCTCTGTGCAGCGTGAGAGGCTGAGATGAAGGGAAAATAAAACATGGAAAGCATGTCCCCAGAAGCCCACAGGTTTTTTTTTTTTTTTTTTTTTTTTTTTTTTTTTTTTTTTTGTGGGGAGATGTCCACACTAGAGTTGGTGAAGGGAGCAGCAGTCCTGCAGCCACCAGGACTTGTCCTCTTCATCACGCTGCCCCTTCTCTTCCCGGGAACAATACAGGGAAGGAAGTCTGATAGAGACCTGGGATCTGGAGTGCACAGTCCCCACTGACAGACCAGGAGATCCCAGACCAAGGGGTGGATTTCTACAAATTAGTCAATACTCTTTTGGTTGTAAGGGGGAAAATCCAACACATAGAGCCAACCCTCAAAAGAAAATTTATTGGCTCATAACTTGGAAAATTAAAGGTTGTTGGTCTTTAGGTAAAGCTTGATCCAGGGACTCCAAAGATGTCACCAAGTATTTCTCCCCATTTCTCTCTCTCTTCTCTCCTTCTACACATGGAAGCCAGGGCCACATTAGGCTCCAGGGCTGTGTCATTAAGCCAGACCCTCAGCGTTAAGGTGCCTGTACATTCCCAGGGGAAGACATTGGTTGATCTGATTTGGGAAGCACTCACACTTCTTTACCAATCAGTGTGGCAGGGGATGAAGTACTATGATGGCCTCACTGTCATGTGGCCCCATTGTCACCCAGTGGAGTAGAGGGAGCAGTTCCTCAAAGAAACTGGGATTCTGTCACCCTAAGATGGGGAAGATGGGCACAAAGAAGAGCTGTCTCCTCTGGTCAGGCCTCTCTGTTATGAAGGAGGACAATCCTTGCTTGTCTCGGGGTTAAATGCTACCATGGATGCCAACACACTTACAAACCGCTGAGCACAGCGCACACGGCACTGCTTCTCCCACTGTCTTCCTCGGGGGTGAGAGGGGGCAGTGGGCTCTTCTGTCCTTTTCCCCACTAACCTCAGGTCTACTCCTCCACAGGACAATCCTCGAGGAAAATGAACTTCACGCTGGGCCTGGGCCTGCTGCTGGCCGGCTTCCTCGCTGTAGAAGGTCTTCTGAAGCCCAGCCATTCCCCAAAGCATCATGGCGCCATGAGCCGGGCCCAAGAGCAGCAGGGCCGGAGGGCCGCCCAGGAGCTCGCCCGGAGGAACCTGGGCTTCGGCTTCAATCTGTACAAGAAGCTGGCCGCCAACAGCCCCGGCAAGAACATCTTCTTCTCCCCCATGAGCATCTCCACCGCCTTCGCCATGCTGTGTCTGGGCGCCCAGAACACCACACTGGCCGAGATCAAGCAGGGCCTCAACTTCCAAAAAATGCCGGAGAAAGACCTTCATGGGGGTTTCCATTACCTTATCCAGAGGCTGAACCAGAAGGCCGAGGGCCTCCAGCTGAGCCTTGAGAACACCTTGTTCTTGGACCAGAAGCTGCGGCCAGAGAAGAGGTTTATGGCGGATGCCAAGAACCTGTACAATGCAGACAGTGTCCCCACCAACTTCCAGAACACTGAATATGCTCAGAAGCAGATCAATGACTATGTCAGTAAGCAAACCCAGGGGAAAATCAATAACCTGGTCAAGAATATAGATCCTGGCACCGTGATGCTTCTTGTCAACTGTATTTTCTTTCGAGGTAAGTCTTGGGACAGTATGGCATGGAAAAGAGAGCATGACCAGTAGACTTAGATTAAAAACCAGGGTTGGCCACTTGCTTGCTCTGTGACCTTGATTAATAAGTGATTCATCTCTCAAAGGCTCACTTTTCCTATCTGCAACATGAGTACCCTGCTAACTCATAGGGCAGCCATTGATATTCGAAGCAGAAATGTATGCGCAATGAACTCCGTGAAGTCTAAATTATTCTCCACATGCATTTTCTCATTACTGGTAGTCCTAACACAGCACTGGTTACAGAGGTTGCAGTGACATTCTTTTCCTCATTTCTTAGAAAAGGAAAGTGGACTTTAGAGAGACATTAATCAACTTACTCAGTTACAAAGCCAGTCAATGGAGGTGAGAACTCAAACCACTTCTCTTGGCCCAAGAGATGTGCACTTCCCATCATTCTGAGTAGACATCCGGGTTGGGGATGGTGATGATGACCACTTCGGTGGTTGCTTTGATCTCCTGTAGATTCTCAAGTCTCTGGGTGAAAGACTGAAAAGGAAGATGGAAGAATATTCCTCAATCCAAGCATCATTTCTCCCAAAATACACACCTACATGCTCACACAAAAGATTGGCCAACATAGTTAAGAATCAGAGGCCAACAGCTCTCAGGCCACACCAGATTACTGCTGGGTTGTCAGCAGCATGGTTCTGAATATGGAAGTTCAATTCTCCCCAAATCCACAGGGAGATGAGTGGCAGCAGCGGGGGAGAGGAGAGGAGGGAGCGGAGTGATAATCTGTCTTCCTAAAGCAGAGGAAGAAAGGGGAATCTGGAAATCCCCTTAGTCCCTAGATCCCCTAGATTACAAGACCCCTGGTGGTGATGATGCAGATGATGACTAGCATTCACTCAACACTTACTGTACATCGTCAGTCACTACGCTGTGCTGCCTTTTCCCAGGCTCATGGCAGAACTAGGAGGGCCCCATCCATATTCCCTTTCCAGATAAGGACACTGAAGCCCAGGGAGGTAAGATACCCAAGGTTACCCATCTAGAACAGCAGAGTGAGAATTTGAACGGTGGGTCTTTGGAAGGTAGTGAAAAGACCCAGGTCTGGGTTTATGCCCAACAGCATCAAAGACCCCTCAGGGTAGAAAAGGAGAGTCCCCACACCCAGCTCTGGGAGTTCACTGCTCTTCCGCACACTCCCAAGGGCAGACTGTCCACACTTCTCTTGTCCCATGTGAGAGCAGCAACCCCAGGCTGACTTAGCATAAAGCTGGGCATTTTCACTCACTGCAGACCCAGATCACCCCACTCCGTATACTAGTCCCCTTTGCTGGACACAGTCCACAGCCTCTCTCACCCTCAGGAGTTCTGGGCTTAGGGCTGCCGGAAGCTCTCCTCTTGGCTCAGCAGCCCCAGCCCTGGCTCCTATGGGAACGAGTCATCAACTCCCAGCCCACCGGAAGTCCCGAGGGCATGTCCTGAGGACAGGGATTCCTGGAGCTATGTCCTAGCATCCCAGAGCCTCCAAACCCGTTCCTTGAACTTCAGCATGAGGACAGAGGCCAGTGCTTAGCGGGGGCCAGTCCCTTCTCCACCTTCGGGACACTCACACCGCCTTGTCCTCCTTCCATCTGAAGCCAGGTGGCTACACGAGTTTGACCCAAAAGCAACGAAAGAGGGAGACTTCTTCTTGGAGGAGAACAGGCCCGTGAAGGTGCCCATGATGTTCCACGGGGGCATGTATGCCGTGGGCTACGACGAGCAGCTGGGCTGCACCGTCCTGGAGATGCCCTATTTCAACAACATCACGGCCATCTTCGTGCTTCCTGACAAGGGCGCCATGCGGCGGGCGGAGGAGGCCCTGACGCTGGACACCTTCGACAGATGGAAGAAGCTCGTCACGCGGAGGTAAAGGCTCTGGTGTGTGCGCTTCTTCCGTCCTCCTCCCTTCCCTCCTCCTCTCCCTCCTTTTTTTCTCTTCCGCCTGCTCTCTCTGCTTCTCCTCTCCCAGGTCCCCTGGGCCACGTATCCGTCTGCTCCCCAGTTCCTCCCTGGATGCCTGAGACGTCTCAGTCCCAGTGTGTCCAGAAGGAACATCCCCATCCCCCTGGGGAACCTCCTCCAGCTTCCGTCCCCTCCAGTGGCCACTCCGTCCTCTTAGCTGCTCACGTTTAGAACCGTGGGGTCCTCCCTGACCACCTTCTCCCCCGGCCCCTCATTCAGTCTGCCAGGGGCCCCGTCAGCCCCATTAAAATATAACTGAAATCTGATCCTTCCCACCGGTTCTGTGACCCAACACTTCCCCTGGCCTCCCAGCATCACCACTGGGCCCTGGCTTCACACCCAGAGGATTCCTAACAGAGCAGACAAGATGGTCCTTTCAACCCCCAGCAAGACCACACTACGTCCCTGCTCAGAACCCTCTGGCCGCTCTCCTTTTCACCAGAAAAGGAACAAAACCAACTCGCCTCCTTTGCCTCCATGCAGGGCCCACACCTGCCCTTTACCCCAGCATTCTTGGCTCCCGTGAGGCCATCTGTGTTTTCCCTACGGCAGACTGCCTGTCTGCGCATCCATGCCACGCTGGCTCTTTTTTCACGTATTATTTTATTGTTAAAGTATTACAGATAGCAGTGCATATGTCTCCTTTTTCCTCGGCTGACTTTACCACCTGTCTTCCTGCTAGAGCCCACGCTCGGGCATGGGCTGCTGCCCGTTCCTCTCATAGATGCGCCTCAGCCATGGGAACGGCAGCTGGTATGCGGGCGCTTAATAAATACTTGAATGACTGGATGGGTGGGAAGGTAAGTTTGGGAGCCACTGAGCCTGTCTCTGGCATTTAAAGCGATGACAAAGGGTGAGATCCCCAGGGAAGGAGAAAAGAGGGAAAAGATGAGAAGACCAAGGCTGAGACTTGAGCATCACAGCAATGGGACAGGTGACAAGGTGGGGGCAGCCCAGGGCGAGAGCGGAGTGGCTGCTGAAGGGAGGAGAGAGCTGGAGGCACGGGCGTGGGTGGAGAGCTTTGAGATGGAAAGATGGCCCGGCCAGCATGGCTCAGTGGTTGAGTGTCAACTTATGAACCAGGAAGTCAGGGTCATGTTCTCGGTCAGGGCACATGCCCAGGTTATGGGTTTGATCCCCAGTGTGGGGCCTGCAGGAGGCAGCCAATCAATGATTCTCTCTCATCATTGATATCCCTTCCCCTCCCTTCCTCTCTGAATCAATAAAAATGTGTTTTTAAAAAAGATGGAAAGCTGGATCATCTGTCTAGTGCTGGCCCCCCGAGAGCTCGCTGTTGGGTCCGGCAAGCACAGGTCAGCGACTCTGGAAAGAGCTGTAGGGCAGCATGTGGAGGCGACGCCTGATTAGAGGGGGTGGGGCGGTGATGGGAGGAAGTAGAGGAAGGGGCAGGTACATTGTGCTGTGAATGAAAGAAAAGATGTGGCCTGGGAGCTGGAGAGGTGACTCAGAGCCAACGTAGATGCTTTCTTTTTCAATATGTTTTTCTTGATTTGAGAGAGAGAGAGAGAGAGAGAGAGAGAGAGAGAGAGAGAGAGAGAGGGAGAGAGACATTGATGCAAGAGAGAAACATCAATCGGCTGCCTGGGAACTGAACCTGCAACCTGGGCATGTGCCCCAACTGGGAATCAAACCAGCAGCCCCTTAGTATATGCGATGATGCTCAACCCACGGAGCCACCAGCCAGGCCCCAACAGAAGCTTCTGTTTTTAGGACGGGGGCTATTACAGCAGGGGCTCTGCTCCGGAGAACCGTCAGGTCCACACCCGTTATGGAGGGTGCGGGGGAGGAAGGAGGCAAAGGTGGGCCTGGGCTCCTGGAGGGGCCGGCAGAAATGGGTCCAGGGCCAGAGGACAGGACTCCACGGCCCACAGGCAGAGAGGCCCCAGGTCCCACCCAGGAGGACGCGCAGCTGCTAACTCCAGGGCTAGGGAGGAGCGTGCGCTGGCCGCTGAGCATGAGCCTCTCCCTGCCTGTGGGCACCGTGGGCATCACCGTGTCCGCCGGCGGCTTAGAGAGTGAGCGCAGGCCTCCCAGAGGCTGTGACCGGTTCCACCTGCCGGGAGCCAGGCCTCGCTGCCGCTGGTGTCAGCCTGCTGGCGGACGGCTGGGGCTGGGGCATGGGAAGGGCTGAGAAACCCTCCTCATCCTATGGCTGAAGAAACAGCCTCAACTCCCACGTCTGGAAGGAACGTCTCGCTCCCCACCGGCCTGGGGCCGGCCCTCACGCTGTCGCTTCGCACCCTAGGGTGGTGGACGTGTTCTTGCCCCGGTTCTCCATCACGGGCACCTATGACCTGAAGAAGACTCTCTCCCATCTGGGCATCACCAGAGTCTTCCAGGAGTACGGCGACCTCGCCAGGATAGTCCCCAACCGCAGCCTGAAAGTGGGTGAGGTAAGCCTGCCGGCCTGGGCACCCCCTGGGAGCCCCCATCCCAGCGCCCAACAAGCCAGAACGCCACCCAGTCAGGCCGAGCTGCCTCAGCCCGCCCCTCCAGCCACGTGCTCCGGGGGAATCGGACCCTCCCAGCCTCACGCTTCAGGCTCTGCAATAAGAACCCATTCCCGGGCTGGGATGGAAGTGGATTCAGAGCAGGAACACGTGGCGAAGGCCCAGAGCACTGACGAGGCCTCAGAACGGGTCTCGGCTGAGCCGGACCCCGGCTCACGGGCCTCACCGGCTGTGGGGGAGGCGGTGTCCATGGTCTGCGTGAGTAAGAGCTGAGCACCTGCCTGTCGGGCAGCAGAGAGGCGTCTTGGGGCAGGTCCCCAGATTTAGCAGATGAAATGCAGGGCGCCCAGGCAAGTTCAAACGTCAGATAAGTGACAATTTTTTTTTTTTTAGTGTAAGTCTGTCCCAGATAGTGCATGGATGTACTTCCACAGAAACCCCATCACTTACCTAAAAATAAAACGTCGCTGGATGGCCTATTTTACCTAGCAATTCTCCTAGTAGGTTAAAGGGAGCTGAGGGGGGAGAGGTTTCAGCATGCAGAAGTGGGGTGGGAGGAGCTTCCGGGAGGGGAGCGCATGGCCAAAGGCTGGTGGGCGGGGCCTGTCAGGGCTGAGGGTGAAGGTCAGGTCCATGGGGAGGCATCCGAGTCGCCACCTGAGCTGGCAACCAGCTCCAACTCAGAGTGCTTTCCAGTTTGCAAGAGGAAGGAAAAGAGCGACTAGAACCTTCTCACCTTCAACTTCCCTGCAGACGTCGCAGAAAGGGTCAGCCAGCCACCCTCCTGCAGGCAGCAAGGAGCCAGCGCGGTGTCCCTCCGCAGCTGGGAGCCCTCGGCTGGGCCTGTGGGCAGGGCTCTGGCTGCCGAGAGCTGTCCGGCTTCTGAGATGGAATGACCCGTGTCAGCGTTCCACAGAGGCCACCCCTTTCCCCGTGCCGATCGCCTGGTGCTGATGCTGGTGGTACTGGATGATCTGCAACAGCCGGCCGGCACCTGGCTCCCTCTAACCGCCCACCAGCCAGCCACGGGGGGGAGGGGAAGGGAAGAGGGGGAAGAAGGGGGGCACGGGGAAGGAGAGGGAGGGGCCAGAGGCCTCGGGCAGGACAGCACCCTTGAGCCTCGTCCATGGGGCTGAGATTGGCTTCCCTGTAATCCCCAGGAAGGACAGCACCCCTCCCCGCGCCCCGCCCCACAGGGCCACGGCGCCTCCTGCTGAGCACCCTCAGTGCTGACAGGTGGCAGCGGGAGGCCGGGAGGCGGCACCAGCCGTGACTGCTGAGCTCAGCGACTCGGGGCGCGGCCTCTCCCTCTCGGAGCCTCCGCTGACCTTGGCTCGCCCGGGTCTCCGGGTCCCGTGGCAACACTGACCCACTGACCCCGCTTCCGGTCCCGCAGGCCATGCACAAGGCCAAGCTGAGGATCGACGAGAAGGGCTCGGAGGGGGCCGCGGGCACCGGCATGCAGACGCTGCCCATGGAGAGGCCCATGACCTTCAAGCTGGACAGAGCCTTCCTGCTGATGATTGCGGAGAACCTCACCCCCACCATGCTCTTCATGGGGAAGATCGCCAACCCCACCGGCACGTGAGGAGGGCGCCGTCCACGTCCTCCCGCGGGGCTGCGAGCCAGGGACACGGCCCCGCCCCGCCCCGCCCCCGTGAGCCCCAAGCAGGCCCACCGCGGCACTGCTGGCGCCCGGGCTCCCTCCTGCCCTCCCGCCTTCACACCTGGGAGCAGGCACCCCTCCCCCGGCTGGCAGTGCTCCCTGCCCCCTGGCAGCAGAGGAGTGCTGTGATTTAATAAATATCTAACGCACTGGCTGTCTTTCAAACAGAAACTGAGTCCGAGCTCTCGCCATTTACTCATCTCCCTTTTAAACTAACTTTGTTCAAAAGGCGACTACTGCACGTCTTAAACGTTTTTCTGCTGAATTCCTACTCCACGGCCACACTTTGATTTTGAGAAACAGAAAAGGCGGGGGAAGGAGGGGTGGGCAGAGGGAGACTCTGCCAGACAGAGGAACGGCACATGCCCAGGGGGTGGGGGCACAGGGGCACGGACGGTGAGCGGCAATGGGTGCCCGTGCCGGAACAGCAGGCGGCGGCGGGAGGGCAGGAGGGGAGGTGCCCGGCCTGGGGCCCAGGAGGCAGCAGGCCTCACAGGAGACGGTGCCAGCCACCGCGGGTGCCAGCCGGAGGGCGGCCAGGAAACTCACCTGCAGGAGGTTTCCCCTCGAACTGCAGGCTGGGCCCCATGCCCAGCGCCTGTCCTGATGAGGGCTTGGTGTCTGTGCTGACGGGGAGACTGACCAGCCAGCCCCGTGTGCCAGCCGCCTGCCCTCCGGAGCGCCGCTCTGGGAGGGAGGCAGGGCCTGCTCTTCCCGAGTCCGCAGGGCACCCTCTGTGTGGCCGCCTCCGCTCTGCTCAGGCGCCCTCCACCCACCCGATGCTCTGCTTGCCCGCCCCCCCCCCCCCCACACATCCACGGTTCCGCCGGTGTGACTCACCTTCTCCTCTGTGAGGCCTTCCTGGCCACATGCGTGTGGACTGGCCGACCGTGGACTGGCCGACCGGAGGAATGGGCATCCTGACTCCTCGTAACCAGCCCACGGGCGCCTCTCCCAGCAGAGCCTGTGGGCGGCTTTCTCCAGCCCGTGCCCGCCGGACGGGCCACCCCATTGGGCGGCCGAGAGGAGTGAGGCTCGGAAGACACGTGTGGCCTGTGGTCCCACAGCCAGAGCCCGGAGCTGGGAGTCTCTGGGACAGCTGCCCATTCACCCAGCAAGTATTTGCTGAGCGTCACGCTGTGCGTGGACGGCATGTACGGAGCTCCTGAGCCTGCGGCCGCTGTGGGATTGGCAGGCACCAGCGCCATAAACACAGCGGAGCAGTAAGTGGAGCAGGTCAGGCGCCTGGAGGGCTGGCGGTGCTGGCGGTGCTGGCGGCGGCCTCCCTGGGAGTGGCACTCCCGCTGGGACAGTGAGTTCTGAGCATCTCCTCGCCGCCGTGGCTCTGCTGCACCCCCGGCCTCGGGGGCCTCTGGCCATGCCACGGAGGGAGCTCTGATGACAGGAGGGCTCAGCCCCAACAAGGGTGAAAGTGCCAACACCAGAAACCAGGGCTCAGAGGCCCACCTGACAGAGACAGCTGGTGCCAAGGTGCCACCTCCGTGTTCATCCTGCAACGCGTCCACCGAGCATCTCTATGTGCCAGGCGGTGCGCCAGACAGGGAAAGCCCAGGGACAGCTCGGGGTCACATGGCTGGCTTCGGGCACCACGTCAGGGTGACCACGGAGGGGGGTGCCTGGCCAAGGCACCTCTCTCTGTGGGGAGCGCTCTCTGCTGCTGCTCACTTCCCAGGTTCCACTCATTCCTGGACCGTCCCCACGACCGGGCCACCAGCCTCGTCGATTTTGTACTATTTTTTGCTCAAGGTCGGTCTTTAAATCAGCTTTAGAAAAACAAAAAAGAAATGTGTTTAAACAGAAAAATTAATATCAAAGCCCAGGAAACATGCCACAAAGAGAAGTTAACTGAAAACACACGCAGAAAACAGCCCTGATTAAATCCCACGGAGACTGGCACTGCTGCAGCCCGGCCGGAGGCTTTGGTGAACTGAATGCCAGCTGTAATGGAGAAATAAGCAACAACTTAAAAATAAACTTTAGCCCTAACCAGTGTGGCTCAGTGGATAGAGTGTCAGCCTGCGGACTGAACGGTCCCAGGTTCGATTCCTGTCAAGGGCATGTACCCTGGTTGCAGGCACATCCCCAGTAGGGGGTGTGCAGGAGGCAGCTGATCGATGTTTCTCTCTCATCTATGTTTCTAACTCTCTATCCCTCTTCCTTCCTGTCTGTAAAAAGTCAATAAAATGTATTTAAAAAAAATAAACTTTACTTGGATTCCAGCAGTTGTTCTCACTAAACCTTCAGTCTGTCCCAGGCTCAGGCCACGACGCTGCATTCCGTGGCCTTTCCCCGTGCGGGCTGTGGCCGGCGGGAGGCCCCGCCCCGCTCTGGCCAAGGTTTGGTTTGTGAGATTAGTTAAGATATTGAATCGCACCGAGTCTGCTCCACAGTCGACAGCAAATATTGATAACATTTTTAAATAATTGAAAAGAGAAAAATATGAAGAGGTAGCCAGATTTTAAAAGTGGTAAGAAGGCCGAAACTGGTTTGGCTCAGTGGATAGAGCGTCGGTCTGCGAACTGAAAGGTCCCGGGTTCCATTCCGATCAGGGGCATGTACATTGGTTGGGGGCACATCCCTGGTGGGGGGTGTGCAGGAGGCGGCTGGTTGATGTTTCTCTCTCATCAATGTTTCTAGCTCTCTATCCCTCTTCCTTCCTCTCTGTGGAAAATCAATTAAAAAAAAAAAAGTGGTAAGAAGATCTCCATAATCCAGCCACGGGACAGAAGCATTCACGTGTGGGAGGCAGGCAGGGGATTCCAGAGTGAGGGCCACCCTGGCGGGGAGCTTCTGGGAAACAGGCGTGGGCCCAACCCATTTCTGGGAGGCTCGGAGGTCCCTGGAGCAGGAGCTCTGAGCTGGGGGAGTCCTGGGGAGCTGCCCGGGGGCAAGGGCAGAGCTTGGGGGGAGAGGGGGCAGGTAGACCCAGGGCCCCAGCTCCCGCGTCTTCTGGACTTTTCCAGGAAAGTGACTCCGTAGCTCTTGGTGGGGCCTGGGACTCTGCACTTCAGTGAGACCAGTTTCTCTGGACGATGAACCACGCTTGGGAAACCCTACGCTCCTTCAGACTGTCACCTGCTTCAGGTACCGGGAGTGGGTGAGTCAACAGAGCCTGGCCCTCGGCTTCCCGCGCCCTCCCACGCCCTCCGGCACTCTGCGCCCTCGTCCCGGCACTCACGGATCACACTCCCTGCTCCGGAGGAAGTCCCGGAGGTCCAGGCGGTCGGACTGGGACACACACACAGGAAGGTAAACCACAGGGGCCCTCCGGGGTGGTCTGCTCCGGGGAGGGCGGGCTTTCTGGGGGACTCGGGAAGGTTCTGGAATGGGTGATGTGGAAGGACCCCGCAGGGTGGAAAGGCCTGTCAGGTGGGTGAGTGGGGAGGGTCACCTGGAGACAGAGTCATGTGAGATCCAACAAGGGGGGGGTGGCAGGGTGCATTCATTCCCTTGCACTGGGTCCGGCCTTCTGCATTAGATGTGGTTCACAGAGAGGGATTACAAATGCTTCCGGCCAGTTTTCATTATTTCTTCTGGTTTCTCTGGTCTCCTCGGCCCCTGAGCCGAGAACGCCAACTGCCCGCCGCAGACTTCCTGCGTTTGTCCGGAAGGTCACTGGGCTCTCTCCCCTCCCCCCTCACTCTCTCCAGCGTAGATAGTTCCTATGCCTAGGTCTTCACGCTCACTAAGCTTTTCCTCTGTGCCTCTTCCCTGAAACCTAGCCAGTGAGCTTTTCATTTGGGATATTGAATGTTTCATCCCTGAGAGTGGGATTTGATGCTTTTTCACAGTTTTGACTTTTCTCACATGAGATTGAGGGGTTCTTTAGTTCAGCGTGTTTTAAGCAGATGTTTTCCAGTTCTTGCCTGTTAGTTTTGCAATCCCAGGTATCTCTGGGTCTGTTTCTATTGACTGATTTTTCCTTCTGGTCTGGGATTACATTTTTCTATTTCTTAAAACCTCCAGCAATTTTGTATTGGATGCTGGTCATTGTGACGTTCTCCTTTTTTGGTCTGGACTTTTTACTTTTATATTTATTTATTTATTTATTTATTTATTTATTTATTTATTTTTACATTAGCCAAAGCCATTATTTTATTATTCAGGTTTTTTTTTTTTTTTTTCTAAATCTTTTGTCTGAGGATCCTGGAACAAAACTGTCTTCCTTGGAAACCAGAAGCTATAAATACATCTAGAGCTGCTCATTTTCACCTTCCCCACATGTAAGATGAAACCTCCACACAGAGCCGAGGACGGGAAGAAAGCACCCCTTCTGTATGGTGTGCTGACACCTGTTTTGACTGTTAACTAAATTACTTGCATGTTTTCAAGCCCTGTTAGAGGATCTAGAGTAGCTTTTTAAATTAAATATGCTCTTATGGATTTCAGAGAGGAGGAGAGAAGAGAGAGACAGAAACATCAATGATGAGCATCATTGATCCGCTGCTTCCTGCATGCCCGCTACTGGGGATCAAGCCCACAACCCAGGCCTGTGCCCAGACTGCAAACTGAACTGTGACCTCCTGGTTCATAGGTTCACCCCAACCTCTCAGCCCCTGAGCCACGCCGGCGGCCAGAGCAGTTTTAAGCCAAAATCAGCTCAGCCCTAATGCCAAGATGCAGTGAGTAGGCTCTCCACTAAATGCCCTGGGTCTGTGGTCGGCAAACCGCGGCTCACCAGCCACATTCGGCTCCTCGGCCCCTTGAGTGTGGCTCTTCCACAAAAATACCTCGGCAGTGGTTGCCTCTCTTGTTCTCCCTGTACAGCGCTGTATGGCCAACACTAAGGGCTCAGGGAGTGTTTGATACGTGACTGAATGAGTAGGGAAATATAAATGAGTAACTTACTTCTGAGGGTGGATCTGACTGGAAATGAGCAAGAGAGACTCTTGCAAGGCGTC